TGGCTACTTGATAAAGAAATCAATAGTTTTATATATAATCGTAGAAAACTTTAGATGTGGGAAAAAATCAATAAGTGAGTCACATGTATAGTTGCACAATGACTGATTTTGTTTGCTCCCATACATGTTTCATTTAAAGAACTCTATTTGTTCGCGATAGGAAATGGAAATTCACTTCAAGTATAGTGTCTTCATTTACGATGCTAACGAGGCTTACTGGAAGCCAATTTTATTTTTTTGCCAATGACACTATACATCCTGTGGTTAACAATATTTTAACTAGAAATATTTTTTTTCGCAAGAGTCCCTTAGTAATTTCCATACCGCGTTAACTGATTCCTCTTTAACTTGGGGTATACATGTTTTCTAATACAAGCAGATCCGTCCATTGTTTCTGTAATGAGAACTTGCTAGCACTACAAGCGGCAAAGCATATTTTCTTGGCGTCCATCCACAGGTCGCCGCTACTCTGTCTTTTTGTTTAAAAATTTGTTAATGTGCCTTATCAGGCGTCAACGTAATGCACTTCTGAAAAAAGTCGGAACCCATCCTGCATGGTTTTAAGGCTTTATGATCGCCATATTTTACATGACTGTAATTGCGACCTCTAATACGGCGATAATTGTGAGTCACTGACTAAAGGGGATACTCGAAAAACCCTGTCAATACACCAAATGATGCATTAGATTTCAATTAGAATAGTCAACGACCGTCTTAAAAACAAATGCAATCAAATAGTAAACAACGAGAGGTTCAAGGCGGTTCCTGGTGCTTCTTTTTTTCACTAAGAAACAGTTGACCAAGCATGTAATCTGTTAGCTAGCATGAAGTAAAAAAGACATAACAAAGAATTCAACTTATGTTTAACTTATATAGGACAATATTGTTGATTTAAAATCACACCATTCCGGCCCTTTTGTTTTCCACATATTTAATATTATCAATAATTACCAATTTCCTGGTTGAATTCGAAAACGATACCAATAGTATATGCCAGGCATGGGGTAATGCAAATTTGTATTTGTAATGCATGAATGCATGGTAATGCATTACATTTTTCCAAGTTATTCCATGTAATGTGTAATGCAGCAATTTTTGCATTACATGTAATTGTAATTTAATGCATTACTTTAGCAAAACATTGCGTAATTTCATGCATTACATTGTATTGCATTACCTGACATTACTTTTTTTCACATACTATATATCTGCCACGGGTTGTTGGAGATTGGGCAGTATTTAAGATTTCTCGATTAACTAAGAACATAATTATTTGGATATTGATTTTCTTTTTTCTATTTATTTTTCACCCTAGACATAAATCATTAGAGTGAATTTGAAGATAAAGCCCCTGGTAAAACGTGAAAATATAGATATAAATACTAGAATGATAAAACTATAAGTCTAAATGAAAAACACAACACTGTATATCAGATTTCTTTCTTTCTTTTTTATTTCATTTTGTTTCATAAATTTTCTTGTATAAAAAGATTTCTATTTGAAAAGCATTACTGTGTTCCATTGTTGTCAAAAGATCAATGGATACCTTGTCATGATTCAATAATTACAGATAATTGGACATTGTCATATAACACTTATTAGTTTGTTGTACAATCAACCTTTTCACAATTTTGACACTTGTTTATAAACTAATCTATATGTTTATTTTATAATTAGGAAAGAGATTCTTGGTAAATATTTTGATTGAAATTATAGAAAAAAGGCAAATGTATATTTATAAAACATGTAAAAGTAAAGTTAACATTAAGTCAAAATAAGTATAAAACTTCATCTCTTTAATTCTTTTGAGAGAAACACAGTATACCTTGAAACAGAATGCGCATGAAGAATGAAACCTTCGAAACCCTTATGATGTTAAAATGTTATAGTCATATTGAAAAGACTTTTTACATGTCTACTTTATATCAATACATGGAACAATTATTGCATATGCTAGAATCTTTTGTGACTCCATGTTGTTTTTCAAAATGTTTGATTTGTCTTTTCACTTGATAATAAAGTCTACGAATGTAATGTGTAATTCAATGCATTACTTTGCAAAATTAATTGTAATTTAATGCATTACTTTGATGAATGCATGTAATTGTAATTGTAATTTAATGCATATTTTTGTCAAAGTAATTGTAATATAATGTATTACATTGCAATGTAATTCGCCCCATGCCTGTTATATGCCACATGTAGTTTAAGGTTGTATCTAAAAACAATGACGGGTTCAAACAGAATGATTTTGAAAGCATAGAAAACTGTGCATCTCATAATCAGCATGATTTTGTCACATGATAATACGAATACTACAAATCCAGACCAAACAATAAAGGCGTAGGTGCTTTTAATCAGTCACAGTCCCGCACTAGCGGGTGTGTTCTAGTAGTTTTATTAAATGGTATACAATAACTAAACATATAAAAGGTCAACAACATTTGATATTTGAATTACTCTTATTCCCTTGAGTCAATTGTATTTGTAATATTTATTAATAAGGTTTGTTCCTCAGGATTCAAGGGTAAGCAGTATTTAGTATAGTAGTTAACAAAAGTGCATATATTTTACAAATAATACGTTTGAACCTGATTGGCAGATAGTAAGATTTAATTTGGATTATGCTATAACAGTGAATGAAGATTGTTATCATGATTTCAAATGTTTTATAATCGCCTTTATAAGTTAATTGTGTTTTACGATATCTCAGATATATAGCCCAATACGAAGATTGGAACTCTAAAAAAGAAATGTGTACTTTTATAAATCCTGCATTGTTAATTGTACAGTTTGTGTCATGTTTTTTGTTTTAACCATTGACCATGGCTTTAACCACGGACTCATCTGACGATAAATGTATAGCGAAGATAATTGCCCTGTCAACTTACCTTATATGTGCCTCAGCATATAACTGTATATAAAAAGCAGGTATTCTTTTTTAGATTTTGATAACTGCAATACTATCCACACGTTTCGTAAAAGCTTGCTGGTTCATATTCACATAATTCTATAATATGTCAAAGATTTGTTTCTGCAACATCTTCCATTATTCGCTCTTAGTAAGTACTTGATTGCGGCATGTTCATTAGTAATTTAAGCATCAGTAAAACGGGATATGTTCAGACAAAGAGGATTCATATAAATGTCTGTCATAATAATATGATGAAAGTAAATATTATCTGCATATTTATATTGTGTATAAAGAATCAGCTGCAATTCAATGGTTGATTTCTTTGTTTATATAACATGTCTTTTAAAGAGCTAGCTTCTGCATCCCGCTGTCAGGAAATATAATGTTAATTATTTTTCGACATTAACATTAACTGACAGAATCCTTTTTCTTTGCAGACTGTGGCCTCACAAGGGAAGACATTATTGGAGTATGAATCCTTATATGGTCTGTTTAATCATAAGATAAACAACTTGAAAGTTTAATTTCTGTACAAGCATTACAAAGTTCAAATATGTCAAAACCTAAACACGTTTCGTAACATTAGAAGAGACAAAACCTCATTAAATGGAAATTCTGAATTTCAAAAATTAAATCAATAATTAATAAAAACAAAATCGAAATTGTTTGTTCTAGAGATTTCAGTTTTACATCAAACATTTTGCCAAATTTACCACGATGTTAAAACGTAACTACATATATAGCTAATGATATTATATGGGGTTATGATAATTCACTAATTAAAGTTAGCAAGTACCCAGGTTACAAGAAAAAAGCATCAAAACTTTGGATAAAAGTAAAACACACCTCATGAAACTTTTTGGTCTGGCCAAAATTAAGCTATTTTATTGACATGACCGTTAATAATCAAGTGCTTTTGCAGATGCTGATATTCCCGAAATTGAACGATGGAAGCAGAATAGTAAAGATTTTATCAAAACAGACATTTTTACTGATATATTAGAATTATTTGAAGACCAGCATTGTGTACTGTTATCTGGAGTTTCCGGAATGGGGAAGACTCTTACTGCACAGAATTTAGCATTGCAGTTATGCTATGCAAAGGGATACAGAATAGTACCGTGCAGTAATGTTAAAGACATCAAGAATAGATTTAAAGACAATATTCGTCAAGTGTTTTTTATAGATGATATTTTTGGGAAATATACAGCAAATATCAAGTATATTGAGAACTGGATGAGAATTGAGGACTTTGTCAAATATATTCTATCTAAGGGACTGTCAAAAATATTAGCCACTTGTCGAACTGAAATCTTTTCACAAGAAAACGTTAAAAAAGTGATAAAGTCATTTCAGGAACCATTTGATTTAACAGGGAACTATTCAACTGAAGATAAAGTCAAAATAGCCCAAAAATATCTCAAAGAGAATGACAGATTGTTAACAGATATTGTAATAAAAAAAGAATTTTCCCCATTAATGTGCTTTCTGTTCACTCAGCATGACGTCTTTAACATAAACGAGTTTCTAAACAGTCCATACAAAATGTTTTCTGATGAGTGGGATAAACTGAAAATTTTTGACAGAGAGAAATTCTGTGTATTATTACTTTGTGTTATATACAACGGCACTATCAACGAAACTTATTTTGATGTTCCAAACGATTTAGAAATTGGGGAAGAAATAAAATTCAAAAACATGTTTGATTGCTGCAGATTAGGACGTGACACACCCATCTCAGCAATTAAAGATAAACTGGACGCTTGCGTTGACACATACTTTATTAAAGTAGATAGAGCATTCAAAGTTATACACGATAAAATGTTTGACTTTCTTTGTTGTTATTTTGGTAAAACGTTTACCGCGCCGATTCTCAAATTTGCTGATGATAAATTTTTATCTGAACGTTTACAACTAGAATCAATTCATAAGACCCACGGTGAGTTTACAATTATCATTTCTTCAACAGAGGAACAAAAGTACAATGATAGGCTACGAATGGACCTTGAAAACGGAAAGATACATTGGTGTTTGAACAATGTGCAGATGAGATACATAGAATACAGAGACAAGTTTTTAAATGTAGTTCAAGATTTAGGAGACGACGTCAAAAGGAGAATTATTAATACAAAGGACGACAATGGGATTACTTCCTTCCTCGTTTCATGCTTACGAGGATATGAGGAACTTGTTGATCTTTTTATTTCTGCTGGAGCTGATGTTGATGCTCGGAATGGATGGTTCACACCTTTAACCGCTGCATGTCGAGATGGTCATTTAGGGACGGTCGAAATTCTTCTTGACAATGGATCCACCGTTAACCAAACTAATATTGACGGGGAAACACCTCTTTATACTGCTTGTATTTGCGGTCACTACGGGTTAGTCAAACGTCTTATAGAGAGACGTGCTGATATTAACAAAAAAGATAAATATGGTCGTACTCCTTTATATGTGTCCTGTTTCGCTGGTTTTGAAAATATAGTAAGAATTTTAATTGATAAAGGTGCCGGTTTTTATGATTGTAGCGATTCGATCATTGGCGCCACTCATGGAGGCCATGTCAAAATAGTTGAAACTCTTATAACCAAAAACTGCGATATGAATATTGTTGATGTGCAGGGGAGAACTGCTTTATTCATTGCTTGCGAGGAAGGATATACCAAGATCGTTACGTTGCTTATTAAGAAACATGCTGACATTTTCAAGGCCAATAGTGATGGAATGACACCTCTTTATGCTGCCTTTTGTGCAAGGAATAATGAAATAGTAAATATTTTGATTAAAAACCATGCAGATGTTAACATTGCATGCGCAGAAGGAGAAACAGCTATATCCATAGCATGTAATAAAGGATCTGGTAAACAAAAACCACTGGCTAATGTAACAGACGTTTGTGAACTACACAGAACAGGACTGATCGATTATAAGAATAATTTGGCAAAGCGCGATGATAAATGCAAAGATGTTAATACCATTAAAACTTTAAAGGAATTACAACCAGATCAGACTGAAAGGTTAAACATTTCTCGGTGCTTAGAACACAACTTTCAGAAGCAAAAAACTGACATAACCAGAAATTGGCTGCAGTGTGGATGGACTCCTTTATATGAAGCATGCATGCGTGGAGACATTACAACCGTAAAATCTCTTATCAAAAGCAGGGCAAATGTGAACATGCAAACTGTAAATGGCGAAACGCCATTGTTCGCTGCTTGTCATCAAGGCAATATTACTTTGATAGATGTGTTACTAAACGAGGGAGCGAATATAAATCAAGCATTATGTAGTGCCGTTCAGGGAGACAATGACAAAGCAGTTGAAATTCTGTTGTATAAGGGAGGAGATTTGAGCTATCAAGGACGTGATGGGATGTCGCTCATGAGATTAGCCTGTGAACATGGTTCAACTAATGTTTTCAAACTTCTTTTAAAACAAGGAGCGGATGTTAACGAAATAGATAAAGATGGGAGATATCTTCTTTTTGTGTCAATGGTTAAAGGATTCGATGAGATATCAGAATGTCTAGTACTAAAAGGTTCACCTATAGCAATCTCAGACGAAGATAGAATTACAGCATTGAATTCTGTATCTGAGAATAGAAATTACATATTGTCACAGTCACTTATATCAAAAGGTTACATAGACAACATTCCAATTTCGGACCTATCTGAGCTATATCATTCGCGTTCGTTAGACCGTTGTCAAATGCAATCCACGCTAACATTTCAGCATTGTGTGGTGTGTTTATGGTATTCTGGATTGTCTCATTTGCTTTTGTGGTTTTGGGATATTCTAAGTTTATTTTTGTGAGTGCGTTTTTATTTCTTGTTTTTATTTTTTTGAATAATGAAAAACAAAAACGGCCTTTTATGAGTTTTTTTAAGGGTATTCTGGATTGCTTTATATTTTTTTTTTGTTTTTTAGGGGTATTTCTAAATTGATTTTTTTGTTTTTGTGTTTTGTGGGGCTTTTGTTTGGATAGATTCGAACAATAAAAAACAAAATCGGCCTTTTGTGAGGTTTTTGTGGTATTCTGGATTGCTTTATTTGTTTTTTTTATATTGTGTGGGGTATCTGGAGTATTTTTGTGTTTTGTGATTTTAGTTGGGATTCTTTTGAAATATGAAGATGGAAACCCTTTTTTTTAATGCACGTTGTTTGACCAAGCATACAATATTTATTTGCTAAAATGCTCCATCTATTTTGAACATATGTGTACATAATTGAGCACATGCAATTATGTACACTTCAACATTAGCCTTTACTTTCTAAATACAATAGAACAAACACAAGTTTGGATACTGAATGGCAAAGTGACCACCTTAAATTTTATTTTCTTAATACAATATGCATCTGATCTGGTTAAAAGTCCATCAAACTACAAAAAGAAAGTCCATCAAAAACACAAGATACACTGCCTGACAGAATCTTTGACAATATCACATCCTGTAACAAAATTATCTACAAAATAAATACAACATAATTAAATACTGTACTATATAAAAACTAGAATACAATTTTTTGTATAAAAAAAAATAAACGTCTACCTATATATATTACGTGCGATTGTGTGGTCACTACCCAGTCATCGATAACTAAAAACCCGTGCAATTAACTTTTATATTGACCGCCAAACCGGTTAACGGCAAAAGTTATTCAACTTATACAAAATCCCGATTATAAAATTAATGCGCAATCATTCAAATTCATTCCGCATACCGCACATAAATTCATATCTGTTATATTGGCAAACATTTCTGGAAATAGTGATTCTCGAGTATCTACAAAGTTAATCAACGCTTTGAATGGATAATTTGTCAATGTAGTAATTTTAAGGGGTGTTAGCTCAATTCCTATGTTGGTTTTTTTTTTGTTGTGCTTTGCATGATACAGGCATATACCATACAATTGCAAATTTTTATAGAGCATTGCGCTGGCAAGGAATTAATTATTAGTTATAAAACTGTGGAAACATTTCTACATGTGGCACGCCATGGAAACATAGTCCAACTTTTACCCGAAAGAGGAGGTTCTGTTAATACCGTTGATACCTTTGGTTAAATACTGCGTGTAATAAATTACACTATGGGTTGCAGAAATGCTCATAGATAAAGGGCTTAATATGCCTTTGACAAATACGGTGCTACACCTCTAGTGCTGTGGTTATTGCATTATACGGGTGAAAGATTTTTGTCATGAAATGAGAGAAACAGAATATCTAAAAAAGATGATATATATGAGCATTTATACAACGTATATAAATGGGAGAAATATGAATCAACCTAGCATGGAACATGTGGAAGGAACAACAATCTTCTATAAAGTTATTCAAATACTGAGGGATTAGAAAAAACTTATTGGGCCGATATCAATCAGTTAGATGCAAAAGAAAATATACTATAGTCTCCATGCTGGGTGTTGGAAATACCATATTTGCTGAATTGTTACTAAATGCGTATTAAATTTGTTTATCTTTTTTTTTTAAAAATCAAAGACTTTTTGAAGTGACTGTGGTGTGAAAAAATCTGAGCGAATTTTGTCATTCCGCTCTTTAGCATTTTATGTTAATTGTCATAAGTTATCAACGTTTAATCGATAGATGAACAAAATTTTATTTTATAATTTATATTTAGATGAGAAAAGTGGTATTCAGATAATAGTTTTTTTTATTATTATTATGTCTTATCAACCATTCATATATTATTCATATTTTGTTGTTTATTTTAAATTTGCATTTAACATTTAACTCATAATGTCAAAATCTAAAAATTGTCAAATCATACTGGAAGTCGAATATAAAGAGTTTATATCATACGCTTAAAATACTATTCTACAATAGTTCCTATTTCCATAAAATTACAATGTTTACAGCTCTAAATGTTGTTATTTTATGTAATCCTGAATCAAAGCTTAAATAAATAATTTGTTTTACTATAAAGAAAATGTATAACTTTACTTCCAACAGAATATAGGTTTTTGTTTAGGATGTCATTATCATACATTTTTAAAATGTAAACTCAAAATTTTACAATAACTGACAATATGCGCTTTGGGCTATTTAATTTGATTCTAATTTGGTGATCTATTTTGAAATAAAGATTTAGAGAAGTTTTGAAAATGGCCGTGGTGTGCAATAAATCCAAGTGGAAACTTGACCTTCCTCTCTTTAGCATGTTATTTCAAATGTTCTAAATTGTCAACACTTTAAACATAGATGAAAAAGATTTTCATTTCGTTATTTTTTGATCGGCTTAAAATAGTTAGAACTGTATAAGAAAAGTTATTTTAGTCATTATATCTCATTACCATTTATCATCATACATGATTGTGTTGTTAATTTTAAATGTTTAATCACACTTACTTTAAGCTTAAGATTGTTCTCTTGTAAGTTTCTGTTACAGATTCTTAGGCTATACATTCCAAATATGTTTTCATAAAATCATTGAGTATCCTTATGTCTTTATTAATCTGATCAACAGTCAAAATTCGTACATTGCAAGATTTTTTTCTACGAAAACATCTGAATAATATCATATTTGATCCAAACGTTCCGATGTAAGGACACAATGAGTGATTCAGACGTTGCGATGTTAGGACACAATGAGTGATCCAGACGTTGCAATGTTAGGACACAATGAGTGATCGAGACGTTGCAATGTTAGAACACAATGAGTAGTCCAGACGTTCCGATTTTAAGACATAATGAATGATCCAGACGTTCCGATGGAAGGACACAATCAGTGGTCCAGAAGTTCCAATGTTAGGGAAACAATGAGTGATTCAAACGTTCCGATTTCAAGACATAATAAGTGTTCAAGACGTTCCGATGTTAGGACACAATGAGTGATTCAGACGTTCCAATTTTAAGACATAACAAGTGCTCCAGACGTTCCGATGTTAGGACACAATGAGTGGTCCATACGTTCCGATGTTAGGACACAATGAGTGATCCAGACGTTCCGATGTTAGGACACAATGAGTGATCCAGACGTTCCGAAGTTAGGACACAATGAGTGATCCAGACGTTCCGATGTTAGGACACAATGAGTGATTCCGACGTACTGATTTAAAGACACAATAAGTGATCCAGACGTTCCGATGTTAGGACACAATGAGTGATTCCGACGTAATGATTTAAAGACACAATAAGTGGTCCAGACGTTCCGATGTTAGGACACAATAAGTGGTCCAGACGTTCCGATGTTAGGACACAATGAGTGGTCTAGAGGTTCAGATGTAAGTACACAATGAGTGTTTAACACGTTCCAATGTTAGGACACAATGAGTGATTCAGACGTTCCGATTTTAAGACATAATGAGTGATCCAGACGTTCCGATGTTAGGACACAAAGAGTGGTCAAGACGTTCCGATGTTAGGACACAATGAGTGATCCAGAGGTTCCGATTTTTAGACACAGTGAGTGATCGAAACGATCCGATGTAAGAACACAATAAGTGATTCAAACGTTCTGATTTTAAGACATAATGAGTGATCCAGACATTCCGATTTTTAGACACAATGAGTGTTCCAGAGGTCCCTTTTTATAGACACAATGAGTGATCTAGACGTTCCGACGTTAGGACGCTATGAGTGATCCAGACGTTCCGATGTTAGGACACAATGAGTGGTCAAGACGTACCGATTTGTAGACACAATGAGTGATCCAGATGTTCTGATTTTTAGACACAATAAGTGATCCAGACGTTCTGATGTAAGGACACAATCAGTGGTCCAGAAGTTCCAATGTTAGGAAACAATAAGTGGTACAGACGTTCCGATGTTAGGAAACAATGAGTGATTCAAACGTTCCGATTTCAAGACATAATAAGTGTTCAAGACGTTCCGATGTTAGGACACAATGAGTGATTCAGACGTTCCGATGTTAGGACACAATGAGTGATTCAGACGTTCCAATTTAAAGATATAACAAGTGATCCAGACGTTCCGATGTTAGGACACAATGAGTGGTCCAGACGTTCCGATGTTAGGACACAATGAGTGATTCAGACGTTGCGATGTTAGGACACAATGAGTGATCCAGACGTTGCAATGTTAGGACGCAATGAGTGATCGAGACGTTGCAATGTTAGAACACAATGAGTAGTCCAGACGTTCCGATTTTAAGACATAATGAATGATCCAGACGTTCTGATTTTAAGACATAACAAGTGCTCCAGACGTTCCGATGTTAGGACACAATGAGTGGTCCATACGTTCCGATGTTATTACACAATGAGTGATCCAGACGTTCCGATGTTAGGACACAATGAGTGATCCAGACGTTCCGATGTTAGGACACAATGAGTGATTCCGACGTACTGATTTAAAGACACAATAAGTGATCCAGACGTTCCGATGTTAGGACACAATGAGTGATTCCGACGTACTGATTTAAAGACACAATAAGTGGTCCAGACGTTCCGATGTTAGGACACAATAAGTGGTCCAGACGTTCCGATGTTAGGACACAATGAGTGGTCTAGAGGTTCAGATGTAAGTACACAATGAGTGTTTAACACGTTCCAATGTTAGGACACAATGAGTGATTCAGACGTTCCGATTTTAAGACATAATGAGTGATCCAGACGTTCCGATGTTAGGACACAAAGAGTGGTCAAGACGTTCCGATGTTAGGACACAATGAGTGATCCAGAGGTTCCGATTTTTAGACACAGTGAGTGATCGAAACGATCCGATGTAAGAACACAATAAGTGATTCAAACGTTCTGATTTTAAGACATAATGAGTGATCCAGACATTCCGATTTTTAGACAAAATGAGTGTTCCAGATGTTCCGTTTTTAGACACAATGAGTGATCTAGACGTTCCGACGTTAGGACGCTATGAGTGATCCAGACGTTCCGATGTTAGGACACAATGAGTGGTCAAGACGTACCGATTTGTAGACACAATGAGTGATCCAGATGTTCTGATTTTTAGACACAATAAGTGATCCAGACGTTCTGATGTAAGGACACAATCAGTGGTCCAGAAGTTCCAATGTTAGGAAACAATAAGTGGTACAGACGTTCCGATGTTAGGAAACAATGAGTGATTCAAACGTTCCGATTTCAAGACATAATAAGTGTTCAAGACGTTCCGATGTTAGGACACAATGAGTGATT